TTCCTTTCGCTGGACGCGTAATTGTGGACCGGGTAGAATTCTGGAAGTGAGAAGTGACGCGAGGAAGAATTTTCCTTCATCCGAAACGACGGACAATGGATCAAGGACGATGGTGAATGCTTCAACGAGCCTGCGACTGACTGGAACTGGCTTCCGAGATCGCCGCAAAAAGAGGTGAGCTGGACCCCGGTCCACGAACAAGAAGCGTAAAAATCTGTCTCCGACGATCAGGATGTCTCAGTGGATCGAAGCTGCAATTTACATTGAGAATCTATCTGATCGGATGACTGCGGCGGGAAGGCTACCGGGTCGATTTCCGATTTCGAGCAACATTTGAGACAATGTCGACCTTCGAGCTCTCGGCCGAATCGAGAGCGGTCTAACAAGTTCTGGCGTGATCGGACTCGAGAATGATCGATAAATAATAATCTGACGGAAAATATTCCGCGCGACGAGAGATTCTTAATTCGACGGGCACTTGGACAGTTTCCTCGGTTTGAGATTTTCGTCCTCGATACTCCCCCGAAGACGAACTGACCACGGCTCAGCCGAGCTCAATGGAACGTAGCGGACACAGAGCTCGCGATACGGAATCACCAGAGATTCCGTTATCAAAGGGAGGCGCTCCCAAAATACACGGTAGTTTATATTAATCTCGGATCGCTATTATCTACCGCTTTGACTGTGTGCTCAGAATTTCTCCGACGCGGGCTTTATGAGCGTAGCATAATTATTCGCTGCACGGTTCCGTCGACCATGAGCTTCGACCGTGGCATGATGAAGGAGCTTCATGATTCCGAGTGAAGTAGTCGTAGCATTCAACTATTTCAAAAAATCAATACATTGAATACCAACCTCGATTCCGATTCCCTATCTCGCGAAGAGATTCGTCGAGCCGTACATTCGGTAGAGTCGACGGCCGAACCATCGCTCGGACTGCATGCTCCGAGTTTTGAAGGATGTACCTCTCTCCGTTTCGATGGACACAAATACGAAACGTTTTACGACCAGTGTGAAGTCTCCAGATGGAGCGTACTCGGGCCTCCGTTGATCACGAATTTATTATCCGAAGTCCGTCATCGAACTCAGTTAACGATAAGCCCAACGTCGGAAGCGCTGATGCTTATCATTCGCGTAGACGATTAGGCAAAGAAGTTGATGACACGATTAGGAATCATAAATTACTTCTGAACGGTCATCGAACTCGTTCGCTCCATTTCTACTCGAATTATGGAACGCGGACTGCGTACGGTAATCTCGCTATATCAGGACGCGCGACAGCGGCCTATCCGAGATATCGCGATTCGAGGGAGAAATTATAACGCATTTTTATGTCTCACATTCGCCAGGGTTTCAAAATCCTTCATGCGATTTTTCGGAGTTACGATCGATTTTTCTAAATACGCGGTACGCCAAAGAGCGGCCCCGAATCAAGGAACAAGGCTCCGAATGGAAACTGGGTTCCCCCTGCCTGTGCTTCCTTGGTCTGAGCATACATCGAATCACGCGGTTGTTTCCGAGTCAGTCGTATGCTATACCTGACCGCGTAAACCGATTCGACCGACCGCCTGGGCGACCGATCGGTCGGCTGAGTCGGACGCTCCGACAGTCGGTCACCCAGCTGACCGGCGACGAGCTCTCTATCCGACAAGCTCGGGCTGACAGATAGTGCTCGTAGGAACACGCGTCAGAAATCATTACAAAAGTTCTCACATCGGTGATCGGGTACGATCTCACAGATTGCTCGGCTTGCTGTACATTGAGTTTATTTTGTGGATTGTTTGATCCCTTCTCAAGCGAGATCATGCCAGCCGCAATCCAATCCGCGGCGCAGCGTATAGGATTCACAAATTCGGGAGTGGTGTCGGCGAAACTTGCGACGGAAGTTCGCTCGGCCGGAGCAACAGTGCGTGGCAAGGTCGTCGTGCCGCATTGAGCTTGAAGGACTGCATGTGACAGTTACCCAGCCGGCGAGTAATGCGGTGACCTCAGTTCTTCGTTGGGATGCCCGAGTTCTCGGAGATCTGCTCAGCTGTTCCATTCGCACACATTCCCTTCCTCTGGGTGGAGAGAAATTTCCCGTCATTCACGTATTCGGGGCTTCAGGAGCCCCCGCCGATACGCGCAATGATCACCGGAGACCTAGAATAAGACCTATGAATGGAAAGATCGAGATTCTGGGCAGCCCCAAACCCCTCTGAGCGCGCACTTTGTGTTGTGAGCGAAGCGCCTGATGATCGCTCGCGCTGACCGAGAGAACGTCGCGTGAAGCTCATGCTCATCTCTGAAGGCCATGACAAGAGCAGGCCCCTCTCTGGTATTGCAACGCAGAACTCCCCATGCGTAGCAGAGGCCAAGCTGACCATCAAACGGCTTGTGTACGTGAAGGTCGACAAATAATGCCCCGGGCCTCAACGACTTGCATCCTGAATGAGAAAGAATCAATCTTGACTGGATCGACAGGATCGAAAGATCATGATCTGCAGCTGCAAGAGTCCCGGCCATGAAACTTTCTCCCCTGGGTGGCAACAGGGGGAACTCATTCAAGTGGATCTCCCGAACCGCGGTCCCGACTCCTACAATTCGGCGTCGCAAATCTGGCAGACAGGATTAGCAGATGCCGCCAACCGCATCGAAGCTCAGGGAGCATAGGTTAGTCGTTATGATTTATGATGACTCAGATGGCGCATACTGATGATTTGTTCCGAAACTTATTCGAGACTTATCTCAAGAAGCCGGCTCCGGGAAACATTGCGCCCCTTGACGTACGCGGTCGCGGGCAATCGTGTTCCGGGCGCGCCTCTCCAATATTAATTTGGGAGAATCGGATTCGAGAGCTTCGCTGACGTCGAGAGAAAGGCTCTCACTCAATCCCGATCCAGAGAGCACTCGCCGCAAACGAGGAACGGTCCCAGGTACAGTCGAACCCGCTTATAAGAAAACCGCTTAAAAGAGAAAACCGGATATAAGAGACCGATCCCGATTCCCCGATTTTTTCTCCATAGGACTTCATGTTATAAACCTCGCTTATAAGAAACTCGGATATAAGAGAAAACCGGATATAAGAGACAATTTTCAAACCCCGGCCCCATAGAGTTCCATGTTGGAGACCTCGTATATAAGAGAGAACCGTCTCAAGCAGAATTTCTGTTTGCTCTTCCATGACTCCTCTTCCTCTCGGAACCTGCGCGAATGAGATAACACGCGCAGATCCACGGTCCGATATCATCATTGCTCCGAAAATGATCGTCCCTCCACAGGATCATGATACAGGCATCCAAGTCATACGAGAACGAGATGTTTCAAGTCTTTTCATAGAAAAACCGTACCTCGGATATTAGAGAAACCGGATATAAGAGACCATTTTCAATTCCCCGAGAGGTCTCTTTTAAGCGGGTTCGACTGTACACCTTCGACATATGAACTTCTGGATCTGGCCCTAAACTGCATTCCGGATTTCGCTATCGGACGCACCCGTTCACCTCAAGACCCACGGGGGGAACGGTCCTGGCGGGCTAGGTCGGTCAGCTCTGCTCAACCGGAGCCAAAGAGAAGTTGATGCAGAATCGGAGAGTTCAGTGCAGTGGACGGAGCTGACGAACACTAGCATACCGGGAGACTATTATGCGAACGCTCCCGATGACCGTGATGATACGCGAAGTTCGTCCACAGGTCGAACAAACTGCGATCGGCCTTGACCTTAACATGTCGTCTGACTCGGCATCCGTCCGGCGGAAATGGGAATAGCCCTCTTGCCTCGAAGGATTCTTCGAAGAGATAGTCCGAGGCCCAATCCAACTGGTCAACCTTCCGATGGAGACCATGTAAATGAATGTCGCTCGATTATAACGGGAGCTGATCTGGCGGCCTGGCGGCGGGGATCCTCTGGCAAGGCGACTGCGCACTAGCCGCCAGTCACCGCAAGTCGGGAGCCTCCGACTCGGGCCTGGCGGAGGGCGGAGCAAAGTCTCACGACATTCCGAAAATGCGGCGGGGAAGCCGCAAGGCAACACACTCGCTCCCGAGTCGGTATCCGATTCCCAGAGTCCAAGCTGATGTCTTGAGCTCATTCATAAGCGCTAGGGTGTTCTGGTCAACCAAGGCGAGAAGAGGTCAACGAGAACCGTCAAAGCTGCTATATGCCAGAACGTCTTGAAACTCCGATTCCTTTCCAGAATACGTGCCAAAGTATCTCCGGTCGAGACGGTAGGAACTCTGAACGAAATATCAGCGCCAACCCAATCGGAGACATCAGGTTTGAAGATCCTGAAAACGACAAAAGACAGAGTTGAAAATTTACTTCTCCTGTGTTCCGCCTTGTCCTGTTGCTCGCTTCCGAAGAACCGAATCGATCAGAATTACGACGGTGAGTTCCAGAAACCCAGAGATTATTGTCGATGCGAAAAGCTTCTAGGCCCAAGAGAATTCCAGGAATTTGAGTGGAGGGAGGGCAGTCTCTTGAGTGGAAAGAAGGCAGTCTCTTGAGGACTCGAATCGAGTCTCACCTCTCGGAGATTACTTTCAATGTTTCTGCAGCACCTCCATTCGTGAACCCCCAGTTGATATCGACGTTGAACCCGAACTCGGTGCTGAATCGTTCCCATGTATGTACCTCGAAATCCTCATCATTTCGGGAGGGGGAAGCCTCGACCACAGCCGAGCCGATCGTCGTTGGATTTTCTGGAAGTGAATGATGCGAGTCCTCGAGAAGTCCAGTTCGCGCATCCGACTCTCGAAATCCGAAAGCGCGCAGACATGTCATGCCTCCAGAAGGGATCAGCTTGAACTGCCCGCGGGATCTAGGTGGCCCTTCGTTCCTCGGCCGCGTCACACGCCTGTCTGCTGTTGTGTAGCCAAACGCTGTTGTGTTTGGGCGCGCATGTGGAGGAACCGGTAGTCATCAATAGAAGTCGTGCCGACGGGGAAAATAGCTCTCAGAAAGGTCCCTTGTTTTTATTCTGCTACAAGGAAACGACGCAGACACCGCCCGAGTTGTGTGTGAAGTTTTCGTCGACTCTCGACTCGAGCGCAAACATGTTGGAACCGCAAGCGGGCCTCGCGACAACCCGCGAGCGCATCGAGTCTTCGTTGGCCCTCGTTTCGGTTCACTTGCAAAGAGATAAGGAAGCCTCGCAACTACTAGACGCCTTCGGTGGTCAAAACTGTTATAGCAATCCCACCAAGTCCGGTTTATCTGAGACGGATTATTTCAAGCTTCCGCTCACGCAGATCGTGCGCGAGGAAAACCGAACCCCGCTACCACCAGAACTTCTGCAGCATTTCCAGCGGATGAAATGTCAATCCGAATCGGGTATATTTCCCGAGATCCAACGGGCATGGGCCGCCGTCGACTCGGACCTTGTCATGTGGAACTACCTGAACGGTGGAGATGTCGTCTACTACGATGGAATCGAAAACGTAATTCTGGCCGTCGATCTGATCCGGCCTAAACCGAACATGTTCGCGAATCATGTCCACTACCTTCTCGCTGTGGCGACACCGTCTGAAATCGTCATACTGGGTGTCACGCTCGCCGAGAACATGCTAACGTCCCCATCTGTGATCGAATTGCATTTTGTCAACGAGCCCCTGTACACATACGCGCTAGAGAACGTCGTCGTGACCAAGATCAAGGGTGCGCGGAACGGCCGTATCTTCCTCGGCTCCCAGGACGGTTCCCTATATGAATTCAGTTACCATGCAGCTGCAGGATGGCTGCAGAGTCGCTGCAAGCTCACCAACTGCTCGACACGCTTCCCGATGCTCACGAGCATGCTGCCAGCGCTCTTCCGTTCCATGGATCCTATCGCCGAGGTGTGCGTCGACAACGCCCGTCAGATCATCTACACACTGTCGGAGAAAGGCATAATTTCGGTCTACGATCTCGGTGTTGACGGCACGGAAACGAGTTTCGTTGTTTCGGCAGGTGAAGAGACCCTCCTGAAGACAGTGTCGGATTGTGATCCCGCGCAGATCCGGAAAATCATCCACATCGAATCGGTGCCTCTGAACGATTCGAGTCATGTGCATCTCATCGCGTTCACACAGTCCGGTGCGAGATTGTTTCTGACGACTTGTGAAGCGGGAGCCTTCAGCAACCGACCAGCTGTGCTGATGGTGCTTCACGTGCGATCCCCGTTCGCGTTGCCCCACCGGGTGAATCAAGTCACCAACGGTCTGATCCTCCGGAGCACGTCGTTAATGCTCGACCAGCACAACGAAAATCGTTTTCATCTAATTTCGTTGGATCATTTCTCACATCTTCGACGAGTGAATCAATTTGTGGAAACTTATAGCTTCCTCGTCGTGGATAAGAATATCTGGTCGATTTCCGTGGCCGAGAGTGCGGCGAAACTGCAACGGCAAGGTGAAGCCGCCACGAAATTTGTGATACTCTCGCATGACGGTTGTCAAATCTTGTCAAAACTGAGTCCGGTCGAACAGCTCCGTCATCTGCTGGCCGAGAATCGACTCAACGTCCAAGCTCAACGGATCAAGACGTTCTTCGCGTTCTACAACTATCTCGAAGGATGTATCATGTGTTTGCAGATCATGTGTCGGGGCGATATCAACGAGCATCATGTGAAGCAGGGCGCCTTGGACGCTTTCGAGTTCTACGGCGGAGAACCGAACGTCGATGCTCCACAACATCTGCCCCAGACAGGACCTCAATTCCATCAACCATTCCCGCAAACTCATCCCCAGGAGACGATGCTCAACGCCACGACCCTCTCCGGGGGATCGATACACCCTCAGCAACAGGTGATGAGCACTCCGTTCCGCGCACCGGCTTTCGGGAGCAACCAGTTCCCAGTGAGCCCCATAGGCCAGGCTCAGATGCATCAGTCGATGGCTCAGGACGTGAACATGAACCCTCAACACTCGCCTGCGAACGTGTCGGGAGTGACGACATTCCAGTCCCTCAGTCAGGTTTTCACGCATTCTTTTAAACACGAAGCCATCTTCATCTACTTCTCCCGGATAATCCGGCCCATTCTCGACAGCCAACTCGCCAAAGAAAGTCCCCCTCACGCGGGAGAGAGTCCAAAACTCTCGCTTGAGCTCTCGGCCCCGACCCTGAAACCGATATTGACTTCACTCGAAGGCCTCAAAGAATTCCTACGGAACAGAGTCACCGTCCCCGAGAGCATGGCTCTCAGAGCTCAAATCCTCACCACGCCAGACATGCACGCCGGAGGTATGGGATCTCAATGGAAATGGAAAGCCGTGCTCGAAGAACAGAACTCGTTGAGTAACCTCCTGCTGCTGCTGAACCACACCACCGAGGTTCTGAACCTCTGGAGGATCGTTGCTGAACACGACGTCGAGATCATATCACGGAACATGAAACCGGAATTATTCGCCCGTCTCAAGAGCATTCAAGTCAAGGACTTCATCATCAGCGACAAACAGTTCCTCAGCGCCCTAGCCACCGCGATTGTCAACTGCTACATACGTGACGGTACGGCGACGGCCTCAGTCTCCCAGCAACTCAAGAACTTCTGCCCTTCGATCTACGGCGACGAAGACGCCCTCTACACGAACGCATTCGAGAAACTGACGAACGCTTGCAGCATCACCAACGCTGTCGAGCGGGAAACCCTCCTCCGGGAAGCGCTCGACGTTTGTCGAAAGATCAGCGTCGAAAACCTAAACCTCCATGCGATTTGCGGTTTGCTGAAATCTGCGCAATACCATCGAGGTGTTGTCAGCATCTGTCTCTGGGCAGCCTCGAAAATCGATCCTCAAGGATTCGGTGTGGACTTCGTCAGTAAAAACGAACCGGTGGACGACGAACGGGGGAAACGATTCTTCGAGGCCCGAAATCGCTGCTACCAAATCGTTACAGACGTTCTGAACGAGTTGTATCACGACGCGAAGCGACAACCGTCGGCGTCGACGAGTAACTACGAAAAACTTCTGAAACTATGCTGTGACACCAACGATTCCCTTTTCCATCTGTACGTTTTCGACTGGCTCGTGGCCAGCGGTCAACGAGAAACACTCCTACTCTTGCGCTCGGCTGATCTGGAGCATTATCTCAGCCGAAGGGCGCAGAAGGACAAAGACTCAATTAGCACGCTGGATCTCTGGTGTCGCTACCACAAACTCAACGGGAAGTTTGACAAAGCAAGCGCATTGCTGCTGAACATCGCGCGGAGACAGGGAGCGGATCTCTCGCTCGCGCAACGAATCGAATACATCGCAAGAGCGATCGTGTGCGCGAAATCCGGGGGGCCTAGTACAGCTGAGCTGTTCACCCAGCTGGAAGAGTTCCTGGAGCTGGCCCAGATCCAACACATGATCTACGAAAGGGTTCCGGACGAGCACGTAAAACAAGCTCTGAACAGTCAGCTGCTTCTGATCAATGATCTTTATCAGAACTACGCCGAACGATATAATCTCTCGGAATGTCAGCTGCGACTGCTCAGATGCGGCGGTTACGAAGACCAGGAACTTGTCTCAGGACTTTGGGCTCGCTTGATTGAGCAAGCACATCAGAGAGGCGAACTCACCGGAACCCTCCGATCTGCGTGTCAATCATTTGTCAATACACCGTCGTATTTCCCGTTAGATAAAATTATCGCCAACGTCGAGCGTTTGTACTATGGTCAGAATCCTCTGGAAATCGCAGAGGTGCTCAGCAAAGCGGGAGTGCCATGGACCGACTTGCAGAGAGAGTACCACGAGCTGTATACGAAACAGGATTTTATCCAGCTAAGGGATCGACTCCTGGTCGTTCTGACGGGGATTGTCGCGAAGCTCGCGGGTTCTCCCGAGCTCATTCCACGAGAGGGCTTCCGGACGAAGGTCCAAAGGATCTTGAGCAACATAGATACTTATATCGTACACGCGCAGAGCCATGTCACTAATCCTGCCATGACCGACCTGATCCAAGACCTGAGACGTTCGCAGACGATACTCCAAAACCTCGCTATGAACTTTTGGTGAACGAAGTCGTTGTGATGATTAAGGAAAACGTTGGTCATTCTGTATGGTGAATTGATTGGGAAACTCATGTGTCGAGAAACTGATTGGTGCTCGGGCAGACGATCGGTCGCTTGTGGCTGACGGAACAAAGTTCGGAAGGAGCGCTCGAATGAGGTCGATAGATAGACGTAAGGAGTACTGGATTTTTTCTATGTAGATAGGATGGAACGGTCGATCGACGGTTGTTTCGATATTGATAGGGAATTGCTCCTGGAATTGTACAGTCAAGTTCTCGAAGTCTCACTTAGATTATACTGGAAAATGTGCCCAAATAAACGAATGTGTTTTCAGAAGAATTGTGCTTTCCTCGAATCTCGCAGCGATAATCTATTTCTGAAATCTCGCCGAAATGAGAACGTGTTTTTTTAACCGGACGATTTGCAGATTCGGACAAATACTCGTCGCTGATCTATCATTTACAACTCAATGCGGGCTGGAACAAGGAGGTTCCGCTCGAAGGCACGATTGGATTCTACAGGCCCATGGACAATCTCGGCTCCGGCAATTTCGGTCATGTGCGGATAGCGGAACACGTGCTTCTCCAAGGTATGTATATTCGAGAGATAAAGAAGGCAGACTTTCCATCAATGGACGACGTGGCGAAGAGGCGTCTATGAAAAGAGGGAACAATTCTCGCCCGCCGCCCCGATACTGCATCAAATTCGAGTTCTCGAAGCCCACCCCGGAAGCTCGCCGCGGGTGCTACCTACGTATATGAGGGTTCATCAGAATCCGGATCCAGACACATATTCACACCCTCGTGCCGTAGTACGGTTCCATTATTCGCTTCTTCATTCGCATTCCCATGACTTCCGGAGTTTCCAAAAATTAGTTTAACTTACTCCCGACCCGCAGGTGAGAATGTGGCGCTAAAGACCATACCGAAGTCTCAGAAGTCCGGAGCGAAAGTTCACGCGATGGTGGACCGCGAAATCGAAGCATTGGAAACGCTGCAGCACCCAAATATTATCCGTCTCTTCGAGGTTATAGAGACAAGCTCAAACTACTACTTGATTCTCGAATGCATTAGCGGGGGCACTTTAGACGATAGATTGAAGAATGCCGGGAAGTATTCAGAAGCTGATGCGGCGACGGTTTTCGCCCAGATGGCCTCCGCCATCGGACATATGGTGAGTTCCCCGGCGGTTCACTCATACGAAATGCAGGTGAATTTCTCATACGAAGCATTCTCTCTATCGAGAACCGTGTGGACTCACGGCGGGTTGGGCGCTCACCTGCTTTTCTACTCTCAGCACCGGAATCTCATCGTACACAGGGACCTGAAAGCCGAGAACGTCCTGATGCAAGACAAGCTGCACGTGAAAATTTGCGATTTCGGCTTCAGCAAGCGCCTGAGCACCCTGTTCGAAATGCAGCACACCCACTGTGGCTCGCTCCCTTATGCCGCACCGGAGCTATTCGGTGACAAAAGCTACAACGGGCCGCAGGTAGACATGTGGGCTCTGGGGGTCCTTCTGTTTTTCATGCTCGAGGGAGAACTCCCTTTCCCGTCCCGAGTCGCATCGGAACTCCAGCAACAGATCAGTGAAGGCATTTACGAGGTTCGTGTCTGCGACGATCAATGATTCGCGCACGAATGCATCCACCTCTATCGGATTCCCGAGGATTCGAGAGAATTCGGGAGATTCATGAGCAAGATCTAAAAACATTTCAGATGCCAGAAAACATCAGCTCCAGCTGCCAAAACTTGATCACGGGCTTGTTGGAAACCATCGCATCTGAACGATACACAATCGAACAAGTGACAACGCACTCTTGGCTACGGCACTTGAGTCTGCCGTCTCCCCATCCGAGGTTCGGGCTCACACCCGGGGACATTGTCGGAGAAGACGAGCAGAAAGCGCGGGATATCCTACGGAAATTGGGGGTTTCGGATCAGATGGTGGAGGAGACCGCGGTCCAGGGCGCGAAGCACCCGATCACGGGTCTCTTCCGTGTAGTTCTTCATCGTCTGCATCTGGAAGACGCCGCAATCGAAAAAGACCTCATCAATTCAGCGTAGGGAGCCGGGGACCCAACGAAGTGCATTCGGCTGCCAGGGATGAAATGCGGCCTGATGGCTAGGGTTCATGGGAAGCGCTTCTAGTAGGCACTGATATCGGTCATCGGGGGGTGGGATTCCACCGTGGAGGTTTTGCACAAAAAGCTCGAATCTGCCAACACTTTCTCAAGTTCGGAACGCCCCATGGGAGCGTGAATTTGTATAGTGTATAACTTGAACCAGGTGGCACGGAATTGTTCCGGGCAGCGGCTCCTGTGATACGGCGGGAAACTCGTGGAGGATGTCACGATTCATTGAGCACTCCGGAGGTGTTTTTCTATCCAAGATATTTTTGGATAGCGACAGCAATGTTTTATTTTTGGTGACAAGGGGCGCTACATGGAGCCGCGTCTTCGGAAAAATGGGATCCTTACTTATCCTCGAAAATCGCGCTGAATACCCGAGCATATCATGTCAAGATCGTACGGAAATCAGTATGACTTCATTCCTGACGATGAATCGGAACCGATGCGATGGCGCTCATAGTCAGCGGGAGGTCCTACCCGTTGATGAATCCGAGCGCCCAGTAGCGTTTGGTATCGCGCTTTATCCTGTTGAGTGAACATTCGCTTCCTGGGAGAATAAATCATATGATTGGACGAAATACGCCATCTAGTACTTAAGTAAAGAAGAGATCCTACGAATCCAAAATACTGGGTAAAACAGCTTCCGAGATCAAACGAACTTCATCCATCATTCCGAGAGCGATTGCTAGTCTCAGATCTCAAAGTACCTACAGCCTCTTACTCTCGACGGAGTGGGATGCGCATTCAGGATCCGTCGCCAAGAATGTGAACGAAAAGAGCGGCGTATCCCACTACGGAGTCAGAATGTCAGTCATAAGGCGAAAATCGCCAGAGCTTCACAAGTAATAAGCTAAGCGTTCCAGAACATCGTGATATTGGGGATGACGTAAGTTCCTGCAGTACTCATTCAGAACGGTAGTGTGGTCGCAGTGATGAACGTGAATAGGCACCACGTATTCCAGGCGACGATGGTAGCTCCTCTGCGGGTCCGACACACGCACGTCGGCCAAGATAGGGAATTCGTCTTCGTCCTCGTCCATCTGGACTAATCTGCAGTGATCGCTGTCGTCTTCTTGGAGGGCAACCAACAACTTGGAGCCGCTGACAAAAGTCCGCCGGACGTGAGATTTGTCCATACGAACTTTGCTTCTTCCGAGATCTTTGAATTTCGAGTAGAGCGGCTTGCGAACATCAATCGTCTTCTCGATTGTCTGGGTGTTGACATTCATTTTCAAGACCTGGTCAAACAGACCTCTCACACGTCTGAAGGTCGGGCTCACCGTCAAGACGTCCTTGTAGATATAAAGGTAATTATCGCACCGAATGTAGCTCGCGAACCTCGTCGCTGGGTTGAGTCCTCGCGGAGTTCCATAAGACTCCAAGCACAACTCGCGGAAGTCTTCCCTCTTGGTGCTGGACAGCTGTACTTTGTCGACTCTCAAATAAATGAGCCAGTCGTCATGAAGACTCATCTGCAACGCGCTGTAGTAGGTGTTCGGAGGCTGGCGAAGATCCAGAATCCTGGGATCGCCGTCCGAGCTCAACGTGTCGACTTCTATGCAGCGAATATTGTCCCCGTATCCGGTGAACATTGTGAAGACTATTTTACCTTCATAGGCGCACGCGCAAAATTCCTCGAGCAAAATGTCCCTTGCAATGTCACATTGCCAATCCCAGTCGTAGTCTTGCTCCTGTTTGTAGACGACGATTTCGTTCAGTCGGTTCGAATGGGTCAACATATGCAGAGAGTTCATCACAGTCACGAATTCGAATCTCTCATTTCCGCTCCTCAGCTCGGGGATGTCGTGCAAAGTCTTGTGAGAGATGATTCCATCGGGCGAGCACCGTAGACACGAGGTCTTGAACTCAACGCGGGAGTCCAGACCTCCGTTTAGCTCGCAGGGCGGGCCCGGAGTTTCGCTCCAGATCAAGTGGATGTGATCGGAATAGAAACGTCGCCTCGTCAGTTGCTCCACTGGCACTTGCTGGAGTGCACCGTTTCGACAGGAAGACGCAGAAGCGCTTTTGATCAGCCCCGAGAACTCAACGTACGCCTTCTCGAGGCCCGCAGGCGTTAAGTGGGGGTAACGGACGAACTCGAGAACTTTTGAAATTTCCTTCTTTGCTCTCCGTCTGCGTTTTTTCCACTCGGTGAGCAATCCAAGGACTTCGTCTTCGGAGCGAACTTTTAGATTATCTTGACTTATCACAGCGGCCATGAACTGTCCCGGGAGCCGGAAAAGGAGCGACTTATATTTATCCACGTTTTCCGCAAGGCTGCTCGCGGCGAGTTCCTCGAGCTCTTCCATGTCTTCGTAAAAACATGCCAAGTGCAAAGCTATCACGGCAGTTTCTGGGAGGTGAGACTCCAAGTAGTCTCTGCAGGCTTCTAGAAGATGCGGAACTTCGAGATAGTGGATCGCCATATAGAGCTGCTGTATGTTTTGTAGTCTCAGTTCGAGGTTTCCAGTTTCGAAAAAGTTAGCCACCGCTCTCAGCGTCGGGTAGGTGGTGACCCTCGCATCGAAGTCGCCTCGCGCGGATCTGCCCTCGTCCCAACGGTAACAGGTGCGGAAATACAAGCTCATGTTTCTGACTAGGATGCTTTTCGTTCTAACGATTTCGCCCTCGATACAGTGGAGAATGACATCGTTGGTGGCAGCGCGCAAATCTTCCTCACTGAGAACGCAGCCGTCAAGGAGGCGATCTTCGAGTGGGATATGAATTCTCTCCGGCGGCGCGGGGTTTTCCACATCGGTTAGAGCATCCGATGGATCGAGCGGTATCGGAAGTCGCATCTTGGAGCATAGCTCATTGTACTCGTGCGGATTCGTGCTTCCAAGTAAGGCTGGCGCGGTCCTGTTGCGCGCCGACGAAAAACGATGACCCGGGCGCCGCGAGCGCTCCTGCATGGTGATCCGGTGGCTTGATATCCACGCACAAATCCGATCGACGGATAAATCAGCTAAAACATGCGCTCGTGCAGTTTGATTGACTAACGCAACGATTCGAGCTTCCCCAGGATTTAGCACCGGCACAATTGATATTTAGAGCGTTGTGTCCACTGTGTTCGTTGACATAAACACTCCAAAGGGAGAGAAGGAAAATAAGTTGTCGAGGAGAAGAGGGCAATAGATTATTTTCGAATATGCTCATCCCGCCTTTGGGAATTCATGTTTCCGGAAAGGAGTCCTTTGCGGCAAGGGTATTACGGAGATTTTCTTTCTCTATGGTCGCCGTCGACATCAAGTCCAATGAGTCAGCTTTTAGTTCTGGAGAATGTCTCGCACTCCAAGGGGAGCGCGTTCGGAGATAAAGCGTATTACGTAGGGGAACAACTAGCCTACGCAGAGAGCGGTTGAGGCGGACGCATATCTGGAACACGCACCATTGAACAGGGACGCTTCGCCCCTCAACATGAAGAAGCTATGAGCGGTTCGACCCGAGGATTCGGAAGGATTCGAATGCGCATCCATGAAGGCTCGCTCCCTACTCTTCAGACAGACCAAGCTAATGCTCGCCGTGTGTGACGAACTCAACTTCCGACCGAGTAGTGTAGTTGGCTTGGCAATGATCACATCGCCTCCTTGAAACAGAGTTCGAAAATGGAAACCGCATTGAAATTCGCTATGCTGCGACGAGTGTCTTCTGAACTTCAATCGTACCGAACTTGGATTGATCCGCTGCCGGGAATTCTATGTTTCCTCCGGGTGAACCGACAAACACCGGATGTGGTTCGAACCCCGATCATCAGTGGCGCTGAATGCGATTGAGAGCCTGCGTTCAGACTCCGGAGAAGGGAAGGCGAACCCTCCTTATCCTTCAGATTGGGACCCGAGAAATCGTGGGAAACCATACTACATTATGCGACACCTCGCAGCGATATTGCGTCTGATATCCCGCAAATCCCGCGTCGGCGAACCAGCGCTGGCGAGCCAAACTAGCTCCGCTCGCAAGCATCTTCAGCCGTCCTACATCCATCTGGGCAGGTTCAAATGCGTCCGCATGAGTTTAGAAAATGAGACAGAAAGTGGCTGACGAGAGTAGGCTTTAGGGAAACCCCATTCATCGGGCTCAAGGATGGTACAGGAGAGAAAGCTAGTGCGGGGGAGCCATGGGTGGTAGGTGGCACCAAAGAGGTACTGCCTCCACAACTGAAGGATCCGACAGACTCCCGCAAACCTAAGCATTGGAACGAGCCGAGGGAGAACATTCCATTTGACAGGTCAAGGCATCGATTCTTCCGTTCATCATGTGAATGGTGAGCTTTTATTCTCAAACACGAGATCTCTCAAAGCGTAGAATAGTGGTCTTTTGTCCTCTTTCAGTTCCTCCATAGTGACCCAATCCCATCCGTCGCAGTAGTCCGGCTCCATGTTCCGCACCTGGGAAAAAAGAGGTACGAGAGCGAAGTGACTTCCACCCACGATGTTTCCGGCGAGGCTCAGACTTCCAAACCCGGGCTGAGGGTTCGCATCCGTGCGTTGTACTATGAACATCTCTCGAGCAAACCTGAGCATCTGGTTTCGTGAAGTCGATGAAACCCTTCATGAAGATTGTGACATAGTGATAATTGACGTCGAGTCGTACGGAGTTGACAACATCCACGAATGAGATGTCTCTCAGATGGACTCCCACTTCCTCCAGGACTTCTCTTGAATTCAGATAAATGAGTTCGGTCATCAGGAACTTGGAACAGGAAATCATAAGCCGAAGGGATCCTCCTGTCTACCTTTGAGCAGTTTGTTCCCAGGACTCGCCGAATTCCACATGACCGCCGGGCAGTTGAAGACATCCAGGTCCAGTGCTGTTCCTTCTAGTGCCTATCAGGAACTTGCCCGGATGCTTTTCACTCAAGACAAATACCCCACAGCCCACTCCGGGTCGCTTGACGTCTTTGGGACTCATCGAGCCCTGAATTGGTTGGCACTCAAGAGGAGGATGCAGACTTGTCACGAACACTGTGACACTACTCCACTGCTAGAATTTCACGCTGCCAATCAGTGGAAGTTCGGCCGCGACCGATGAATTTGAACTTTCGAGGATCGTCAGTTGTCCGCTCAGATACCAGTTAAAAAATCCGTCCAGTTGTCCGCTCCACAAAATGACCTCCCTCATCAGCTGGTCGGCTTGAGCGGTCTCGCTTGCCCAGCCCTAAGAACCGCCAGGGGACGCCTTGATCTGGGGAGAGGAGACTACACGCATAACGGCCGAGATAACGTCTGCCTGACGCTGCAAACAGGTTCACGCTCACGTTGCTTTATCTCACTGCGGCGTTCAGAATAGGCTTCTCGCTTCCTAATCGCCTCGAGCCGAGTGGACCGTAGCGCCGCCGGATCGCCGAATGATTTGAAATTTGAATTGTGGTTTGAGTTGATTGCGCACGGAGCTTTCCGGGACCTTTCTTGCCCCACGATAATCGTATTTATGATTGATGCTCATCATGCTCGATGAACATCGAGCATGCCCCCGGCATCGGGTTATAAGTAGAGCTCCGATTCAACCGGAATCCCGATTCTAGCTGTGCGGTTGTGAGACTCATATCATAGACTCAAGCTCAGGCTACATCATGATTCGTGAGTCGGGAATTTCCTAATGCTTCCGTGGAAAACAATAAAGCCTGGATTCCAGTTTTCCGAAGAGTTCTGGAGAGCGCGCGTCACATCGAAATGCCCGGTTTTATCGAAGCTCCAGCCCTAAGAGAGCCACGGTTGTGGCTTCATGCTTGGGTAGCACGTTTTGGCAACTTCCGGGAGAACGCTCATCGCTCGGCACGAATCCAGGACGGACAATGAAATAATCCTCGGAGAGATATCCTCTGATCCGGTCAGCCTGCGGGATCTCAGGAAGCGATACTCGATGGAGAAACATACATCATCTCAGGATAAAATCGGTAAATGCGAGCCGGGGGAGTTTGTTTCACGCTCCATGGCAACGGGTGCCCGCTCTCTCGATAGCTCGATTACACCTGAGATATTGTATTCGTGTCGCACGCGAAGCCCACGTTCCAATCATTTGGTTTCCGAGGTTGGCGAAGTAACGTAACTATCAGAGAACTAGTTGGGCAGGGTGCTGCCGACGATCTTCCTATAGATGAGTGACGAAGTGAGCGCCAAAACAATAAAGAAAACCCAGGAGTTGTTGGCAACCGTCATCAAGAAACCACAACCAACTGAGAAACTCCTGAAGAAACCACCTTTCCGATTTTTGCACGACGTCGTAAACAATGTGAGTGCTGAAGTTTCATTTCGTCAGGCTCGAGGCTCTGAGTACCTACTCGCAGTGGCGTACCCAGGGGGGGGG